ATCATATAATTGGTATTCAACTTGATGCAAAAAATTTTCTACCATCATCGCTCTTATCTTTTGATGTGAGTCATCATGAAATTTTTCTTGTAAACAATTAGACTTGTTATAAAAACAAATTCATCAATATCTTCCCGTTCGATGAGAACGAAAACCTCCTCTTCTTCTTTCTTGTTGTTTTATTACATGTATACATGACAACCATAGACACGTTGAACTATACGAAAGAGAAAGAAAAAGGAACGATAGGTCTTATTGAAAGAGCAACAACTTCGATTATTTTCACCAATAAAATATTTATTGACGAATTTATTTCTAGATTAAGATGTAATTTACAACAATTTTAGAACTCTACTTATTTTTTAATGTGCTCTTGAATGATGTAATTCGTACCATTTAGCTGTAAGATCGTTGATTTGTTTTTAAAAAAATCAATGAATCAAGAAGTATCAGGAATAAGTTAAGAAAATAATTGACATCTAATAAACAACAATGATCTATTTCTTTTTTTCTTACAACAAACGAAGAGAATCACATCAAATTCCTTTTTACCATCACTATTGTTTCTTTTTGTGAATTAAATTGTCTTTCGAGAAATATCGATCATTTTTTTTTCTAATTTTTTTCTCTTCACCAATCATGCAAAGCCATCACGAGATAACTGGACCACATAAAAAAAAAGTTTTTTTTCATAGAACTACTTACTATTTTTTAAATGATTATTTTTTTTTCTTTCTCATTTTAAATGTAGTGCAAATGTTGATATATAAGATCTTCCAGTAAGAGATGATGCATATATCTAGTTATTAATCTCATTAAAATTAACATCTTATACTTTTTTTTTCTTATATAATAGAGTTAGAATTAGTTTTGGGCTACGATGTTGTAGTATTCTTATTAAAAAATTATCTATCTTGTATATCATTTAATACTAGAGATTTCTTCTGAATATCATCTTTTAAATTTTTTATTTTATCTTTAATCAACAATATTTTTTTTTCAAGACTAAATTGTTTGAGTCTGTCGGGAAACCTAAAATTTTTCGTAAACTTGATTTTATGTTATTTTTGTTAAATTATACGTAATTATTAGTGATCTATTCCTTTGGATATTTTTCATGTCTTATCCTACGTTATTTTTCAATCCACGTGCATGTGTGTTCATTTCTTTGCTAGACATCTTTGTTCTGGGTCTATATGCTCTGTTAGAAGAAAAACAAATACAGATTTTATAAGATAACAATATGTATGTATGATCATCTTTCTTTTTTTTACTAAAAAACTTGATTTCATTACCATCAGTCATCGATCAAGTTTCTTGAAATTTAGTAGATCATTTTTTTCTTAGTATTTTATTTCAGATAAACACAATGTCTGTAAAACAAAATGTGATTAACACGGCTACTGGTGCTAGTCCTCCATGGCCTTGTACTCGTGATGTAGCTTGTTCTCCTATTCATTTTGGATCATCAATTGAATTAACATCAAATGAAGGTTATGATGATTCACCAATTATTCTTCATCAGGAAAAACAAAACGTACAGGAAAATATTTTGAAGAACAAGTATGTCGTCAGCTTTTTTTTTTAGTATATTAAGAGATGAAATAATTGATACAAAATCTTTGAAAAGAAAAGTTCATTTCTCAAACGATTTTATTGTTGAAGAAAATATTAGTAATCTTCGATTTTCTCATCTACAAAGTAGCGGATTATATTATAGTTGCGAATGATTGAATATGAAATTTATTGACTTTTTTTATTGTTTTTGTTCACATATTGAGATTGAATGAGGATATCGTCATGATTAAATAGATTATGTTGCTCAAATCTATGTTGTTGATGAAAACAAATTAAATTGATTTTTCTTTTGTTCTCTCAATGTTTAACAAAGAGTGCTGTGAAAGTTCAAGCAAACAGTATATATACGGAAATAAAATTTAAAAAAAAAAGAATTATTTCACTTAATTATTTTGATACGAAAAAAGTCTAGAGAAATACGAATAATATATTATTCTCCGTTTATTCTAGAATCTTCAACAATGAGCCCTCATCGTCATTATCATTACCATGGAGTAATTCATCAAGTAGTAATACAACGCCTGTATTATCTTCTGTTTCATCAATGAAGCCAGTATCATTGATGTCAATAGGTGAGAATTGTTTTTTCAACTGCTTCTGTCTAAGCATTGGTAATATCTTCATATTTTTTTTTATTTAGAACTCAATGATGCATATGGTGTGAGTTCAAGAAGAGGTTCTTCTTCAACAGCAAACAATATCAACAACAATCGTTGGTGGCCTGCCGATCCTCCTTATAGATATAATTTCAAGAATCGTCAACGTAGAGTACGAAGTACTCGTCACAATCAATTTCACCAACATCGAAGTTATGATGCAAGATCTGCAATGATGACGAGAAGTAATACTACACAGCAATGAACTTGTTGAGCTTTTTTAAACATAGTCTTAAAACATTATTTGTTTATGATTAATATATATTAATTAAAATATATTCTTTGTTTTTTTTTAGTTAATTGCCATCACGACAATTATCGTAGAACAAGTCATTGTCAAAATTGTTGCAGTTGTCATGATTATTGTTTAATGTAACATCATATTACTAAACGTACCACATATATTATTGATTATCAAGAACGATTGAAATTATGATACACAATAATATAAAAATAATAAATAATCTTGAATGATATTGCTACATATTATATATCATTTTATTATAATACATTATTTCTTCAACAATAGTTATTAATAGATATTTGAGGACTTTCTTTATCTTATAGTAGGTATTGAATCAAAAGTGAATGTTACAGAATTAATTCATCAATATCTTTGAAAAATTATTTATCATCATGATATAATTGTTGCGTTTTATTCTTCTTTGATCTATTACAACAAAATACAACGTTTTACTGTTAAATAATGATTTGATCTCAAATGCCTCGCGATTTTTTCAAATTATCCTCGAATGCACTATGTTCAGACAGGTGAAATATTTTAATGGAAAATATAAAGAACGATATGGAGGAAAGAAGAAAAAGAAGTACTTCGCATATAGCCGAGTGGCTAATATAGTGTGTATGACGCGACGTGGGTTCGAATCCCTTGCGAAGCGATAATTTTTTTACATTCTCTTTGCTTCTTTTGCATTGACTTTTGGAAAAAATTTTTTGCTTGGAGTCAGAGGTACCCTCTCGAGATCTCGACGGCGACGGGGGTAATTGATCACGCTGATTACGAATCTGCTATTTTTTTCTTCCGAACACTCTTTCTTCAGAACCCCTCCACGGTGATATGTATAAAACTTTTTTTATTTTGACAACAGCGAAAATGTTTCGTAATTGACAATATCAGCTAAAACAGACTATCGAAAATGATAGAATTCACTTTTGCAAGTTGTTTTCGATCTATATCATATAGATGGAAGATAAAAAGAAAAGAATATATAATGATGTTATTGTATAGTAAAAACAATAGTTCGCTAGTTATAAACAGCCTATATGTATACTATACGAAGAACGAAAAACATTCAATGCTCGTGTTGTATGTATCACTATGTAATAGTGCCAACGTAATTGCACAATATCAGTTGGTTCCATCATTAAGATAGTCTATATAGAATTTACTTTTGCAGTTATTCTGCAAAAGTAAATTCTGTCATTTTCGATAGTCTTTGTTTGCTGACATTGTCAATTACGAAAAATATTCGCTGCTGTTAAAATAAAAAAAAAAAAAAAAAAAAAAAAAAAAGTTTTATATTTTAATAAATCTCTACTTGAGATACTATAGCGGAGTACCTCAGGTCCTCGAGTCCTATACTACGGGGAACCCTTGAGTCCTCAAGTCGTACTTAGGAGGGCACCCTTGAGTTCTCAAGCCTTTCTATAGGGAGGTACCCTTGGATCACCAAGTGCTATTATAGGGGGGTATCCTTGGATCCTCAAACTTCCTACTAGGAGTACCCTTGGGTCCTCAAGTCCCATACTAGAGTACCCTTGGATCGTCAAGTTCTACTATGAAGAGTACTATGGGTCTAGAAGCCGTATTATGGTGACGTACACTTGCAGTCCTAAGTAGCATACATCGGGGTTAGCGTTGTATAGCTGACGCTTATCAGCGTGAGCGTTTCAACTCTACCTTAGGTATATGGGTTACCGATAAGAATCGAGCCGTTTTTACTTGCGAAGGTTACCATTGTCCAGCGGAAGCTTGTGAGTCATCAGTTTAGAGCTCTTCGGTCCGAGCTCTATGTTCCTGGCATCCGCGCACTAGATCCGATGGAGTACATACTTAGCTTTTATCAGGAAAGAACATACCGAAGTTCGAGTGGAATTCAAGTAGAACCGCGTTAAGTCTAGATTGGTCCGAGCAACCCAATGTTTTGTCCTACAAATAAGAGAGACAAATGGTCTCTTGTAATTTGATTGGCTGATAATTTTTCCTTGTCCGACCAAACTGCGTGGAGCTCTTTCTTAGCTTTTTTAAGGCAGAAAATACCGGTGTTCGGATCATATGAAAGTGCTCCACCGAAAAAAATATAGGAATGGCCCGAACAGCCGTTTATTTTATCTTGATAGTAGATGGAAAAAAGGGTCCAAAATCCGATTGACTATCAGCTTTCTTTTTCGACCGATCGATGTTCGAGGAACTTTTTCTCAGCAATTTTCAGAGAAGAACACACGGATGCTCCTGTCAATTGAAAAAGGACCCGAGGAACCCAAGGATCGGCCAGAACAACCGTATGTTTTATACTAGAAATATCCTGAAAAAACCCTTTTGAAATTTGATTGGTCAAAAAGAAGAGCCATCAGCTAATCAAAATGCAGGATCCTTTTTCATATTTATTACAAGGACAAAACATATGGTTGTTTGGGTCAGCCCTTGGCTTGCCGGGATCCTCTTGAATTTGACACGAAGATTTGTCTGTTCCCCAATAAAAGTTGAGAAACAGCTGTCTCGCGTCTGATAGGTTCACGCTAGGAACTTAGGGCTTAGACCGACGATACATTAGGGTGTAGGTGTGAGTACATAAACGATTGATACGCACAGTCACAGCCACAACCACACCCACACTCTGCTATCGTTGACCGCGACAGATAAAGTACATGGGACGTAAATAATGATCGAGAAGCTTTTTTCGCAAATTATAATAACGCTCATGTTAGTGTAGCAGAAAGGACTTTGAAAGGAAAAAAGCTGTTAGCGCAATCCCTTGCGGGATTAAAAATGTGAAACACGATACAGCTGCTGTAGCCAATGTTCTAAAAGCTGTTGTTTTTTATGCATACTGATGTACATTTCTTCATAATGGTTTACCTTACATTATAGACTTTCAACAGGACACTACTCCATATATGCTTCAATCATATGTTAGTTATGCATCATTGCTCATATTTCCTTGAAGTTTTCTATCACAGTTTATAATGATCCCTGAGTGCTGTCTGTCACGGTCTGTGACGGGTCCAAAACCTGTCTGTCACGGTCTGTGATGGGTCGAAAACCTGTCTGTCACGGTTCGTGACGGGTTCAAAATCTGTCTGTCACGGTTTGTGATGGGTAATTAGTTAACTACAAAGTAATTAATTAATTAATTAAAATTTCAGTCACAGTCTGTGGAGAGGGGGAGGGGGAGAGGAGTGGGTCTAAAATTTCTATCCCTCAACACTTCAACACTCCTTTCAGATTGTGTTTCACAAAAGAACCTTCTATTACGTGAATAGTTCCTATTGATAAGTTCTTTACAATTGGTGTTAAGAAATCACAAAGAAATGTGCCATCGAAGTAGTCTTTTTTATTTCCTGCTGTACGAAACCATTGGCAAATTAAAGGTTTTGATAACTTCTAGCTGATCTTTATCCATATTGATACTACTTAACTTCCAGAAGACATCAAAACTGATGTGATCGTAGTGATATTGACAAATTTCAGAAAAATTCTTGTAGCCTACTATTGAAATACTTAGTTGATTGCATAAAAAATTAGTGTAAATAGTCCTAATGTCTCTATATACTCCAACCGTGACTACCATAAAAATCGAATATCTCCCTCTAGGCAAGCCAATGATGGCTAATATTTTAACCTTGTTAGTTTGGCAGTGAGTACTTTCATTTGATCCGAATATGTCCCATCTTTCTGATTATCAACAGGAACACCTCCATTTTAAGAGAAAAAAGAAAATAAGGAGTGTCGTGGATCTTTTTCGTTTTCTTTGGTAAATAGAATTTTATCATTTCGAATGCAAATTTTTTACCCAATTTCTCAACAACATGAAACAAAATGAAAAATAGTATGTTGTTGAGATCAAATTATAAAAGTTTGACTGATTTGTTACTGCAAAAGCAAAAAAGGTATGGGTGTAGGTAGGTGTGAGTATTGGTTAATACGACACGTAAACTCACACCAACACCCACAGGCAGCCATAGTAACGACCACAGCCGAAATCGACATCCACACTCACACTAAAACCCAACCAGCACACATGTCAACACCCATACTCAGCATCCACATCCACACGCACACCCAGTACGTCTTTTTCCTGCACTCATATCTCGAATGAAGAAGGGATCTGTGAACATAATTCTCCTTATCATTGCTATGACAATTAGAAACACTTTTCTCTATTACTTTGGCAGACAGCACTCTGGTGTGTACAAAAAAGGAACGCCCATGATCTTGTTTGAAGATTTATCATATTAGTTGATCATAGGAATTTTTTCAATGACACTGGCAACTTCTAGTTTTCTTCCAATTTCGAACAACAAGAAAAGCTTAACATGTACAAGTGTTCCAAAAGTCTGAGCGAATACAACGTGAATAGCGCTTCAACAGTTGAAGCGCTATTCGCATTTCTTTCCGCTCGGACTTCTGGAACATCCTGCAATGGAGAAAATGAACGCACGTGTGAATTAACTAAAGATACAAATGTTTCTTTCCTTTGAATCAAAGAAGCAATCACTTGTCGAGATCGATTTGTTCGATTTGTCGAGCGAGAGTGAAAGTGTTCACATATGGGATGGACCAAACTGGTGTAATCCGTTCATATTGTCCACATTCGAGACATGCTCCATTCCATTTACCATTATCCAAAGGAGTGTAACAGCCTGAACATTGTCCATCGAGTTCGGTCACACCTGACCACCATTTATTGGATTTTGTTTCTCGATAGCGTTGCACACATTGTCGTCGAGCTGGCACTATTTCCAACGTTGAACAATAAAAGTCAATTGGAAGTCGAGCTACTTTATCTGGAAGGCCAATTTTACAAATTTTTTCCCATGTCCATGTCAATTCATTAGTTCCTGCAGGGGCATCTGGATATAGACGAACATTAATATGAAGACAATCCGTTGATGTTTGGATCCATCGCGTAGTATTAATTCGTTGTTGAATATCTTGAAGAAGAGGTTCGAATTGAAATTCGGATGGTTTGGTAACATATAAAGCAATAAAATTAGTACCACGTCTGTCGCCAAATCGATGATCACCAGAGTGGACTTCGAGTTTTGAACTTCGAAAAACAGCTTTTCGCACGTGAACATTGTCGAGCGATGGATGAAACAAATCGAATTCTTTTTTAAGTTGTTCTGGCGGGAACGCAGAAGAGAATTTGACAAGTGTACTCTGATAATAGCCATCCCACACATCGGGCAAAGTATAACCATTGTGTTTCGGTGCTAACATAGCAAAATACTGGTTAAAGGCGCCAAGTCCTTGGAACTTTTGATGCCAACGAGAATTGCCACAGATAAAGCCGAATTCGACTGGATCGACACGCAGGTTGATAGCATATTGGTATTGCTCCTGCGAACTAGTGTTCCGATCCGTGGCTTTCTTTGAATGAAAGCGATCATAATTGTTGTTCTTCGGATTAGTGGAAGGCGATGGTTGTCGGCTACGAAGCATATCGTAGCCGTGATCCACTGCAAACTGTGACTGACGTAAATGGGACAGATCAGCTAGTTTTACAGCCAAACAACGATCGATGGTGGTCTGATCGAGTTTTGATGAATACCAGTGATAAATCAAAAAAAGATCGTGTGTTGCTTTTATTTTAACCTTTTGTCAACTGAGTTTTACCTTTAGTTTTTTTTTCTCTCTGTGCTCTCTCTCTCTTTCCTTTTGTTTTTCTTTCTTGTGCTTACGCACCGTTAATCAAGCAACGTGAATCAATCTTTACTGGGTTGTTTCCATGACAAACATTTTGTCGAGAAAAAAAATAATCATGCACTTCCATTGGAAGAGTTAGCTTTTTCCAGACTTTCGTTATAAAGGTGCCTTCTCTGCTTTCATTAAATAAGAAAGTAATGCAGTAATAGACACAAAAATGTTTTTCTTATTTTTTAGTTTTCAATTTTAATTTTGAAGAAATAATAGAATTTTCAACCTTGACTGTTATTAACAAGCTGGTGAGAGCAGCCATCATCAGTACAAATATCCAATAATCAAATAATCTATAAAACTAATCTATAATCTTGATCTAATCCATAAACTAATACATGATAGAAATAATCCATAAAACTGCGGACATCATAAATCAAAATAAAAAGCTCAAGTTGATTAAACTGCTAAATCAATCATCATTATTTGATTATTGGATATTTGTACTGATGATGGCCGCTCTCACCAGTTTGTTAATAACAGTCAAGATTGAAAATTCTAGTATTTCTTCAAAATTTAAATTAAAAATTAAAGAAGAAAAAGAAAAAGAAAATTTTTGTTTCTATTACTGCATTACTGTCTTATTTAATAATATATACAAAAAAAGGTTTCTAATTTTTCTCAAGTTACACTTACATTATATTCTCTGCTCTTAAATTCGAATCACTAACACAAGATATATAATCACTCCAGATATAAGAGAATGGTTTACAACAATAGAGAAAGAACGTCGGGAGAGAGAAGTGAGAAAAGGACTTGATAAAATCTCATAACGAGTCAAAATGATGCGTCGTAACACTTATACGTACGATTCTTTAATGGGTTTTTTCTCTTTCTGTGCGTGGTCGCAACGTCGCTTGAAGATAAATTTCCATTGGTCTGCGTGCGTCGCATTGAGGGCGTGGGTGTGAGGTATGGGTGTAGATGTGAGTATGAGTGTGGGTATGGATGGATGTGAGTGTGTTAGCAGAGATATGATGAATCCACACCCACATCCATACCCTTCGCGTATTGTGTATCAGTATAATGAAACTAAAGAAGACGTGTCAGTTTCACATGTCAGCTCCAGCGGATCTGCACTAACATATTCTTTAGAAACTTTGTTTTCCTGGGTATGAAGATAATTTGCCGTACATCAAACAGAGTTTGTTTTGCATGCTATTGACATTATTCTTATTTTATGTAACAACCTATTTATTCTTTCAATATATCTTGTAGATTTCTCTCTACATTGACACATCATTGATCACAGATGGTGAATATGTGATGAAAAGGAAAAGAGTGATCAAATAAAAGCCAATCAATTTTGTGATATTTGGGTTTTACGGAAAAGACAACGGTAAGTCAACAGAATAAACTCCCCCTCCCCCCGCCCCCCATAATAGAAGCCCCTCCCGAAGGACCCATATGAATGATGTATTAGAAGCCCCCTTATTTTTACAAAGTTTTTGAAAAATTTTATTGGTATTTTCACCGCAAAATCGCCGAAATTTAAGATCTTAAGGAAAAAAATTATTTAATTTTCTTATATGCCAGCGTAAAAATCTCGAAACCTTCTGGAAAGTCGTTTGAAAAATCTAAAAGATTCTAATAACACCCGAAATTCTTTGGAATCTGTTTTACATCTAAAACTATTGAAAAAATTTGGGACTTAGTAGAAGCCCCCACCGAAAATTTTGGACGATGGACAGTTTAGAAGCTCCCACGGCTTCTATTGTGGGGGAGAGGTTTAATTTCTTTTTCTTTCGACACATCTTTAAGTGCTCTCTTTATAAGCGAGAATAAGTTGGCTCCATCTCTGCACACTATATAGCTATGCTGTAAAAAATTTCTTTAGATTAGAGAATGGAACATTGTTGTGGTAATCAAGGAAACAGAAATTCTTTCCACATTTTTTGAATGAGAAAAAAATGTTTTTCTATTCTTCTGCAAAGAAAAGAGAATTGATACTTTTTTCCTTGAAAAGAAGGAGCAAAGGAAATTTCATCTGTTTAACTTGCTGCAATATTTTTCATGTTATTAATGTGCGGAAGTTCTCAACCGTCTAGATCTCCGCTTGCATCATACGTTGCTACATTTAAAGGAGAGAGGAAAAATAAAATACAAGATGCCGGTTTCCATGACAATATTGCTTTGCGCAGAATATAACGTCAAATAATCAGCGCCTTTTCTTCTACTATAATATTCTCTCGTGGAAAGCGTCATCACTTTTCTTTACTGTCCCAACCAATCCAATACTACTTAAGGAAATTAATATATCAAGAAAAAAAAACGAGTTAGCGTCTTTTCATTTTTAGTTTGAAAAAAAAGAGGATCGGGTTATTTCAAACAGTGCATACTCCATAATCGGAGTTCAGATAATCAAATACTTGCTGAGTATTGTCACAAATACGAAATAGGAGATATTCGCTGCTGATTGGCAGTTTAAAGCGCTGTTCTTATTTATAGATTTATAAAAAGAATGAAAACTCATGATATAACCAAAAAATAATGGTTTCCTCAAAATGTATCATAATTTTATCTGTAAAATTATCCGATATCCAAAATGATGTTATTTTGTTTCCTCATGTAAGACAAGTGATGAAAACAAAATATAACAATATCAAAGTACTCTATGGCAGATGATTAGCCTATTCGATTAGAAAAAGATCTTTGGATACTTTAATGAAGCACCTTTCAAACATATTTGGCCTGAAAAATGTTTGAGTAGCCATATGTATTAGAGCTGGAACCAGGTGACTTTTTCTAGCTGATGAGAATTAGCCGCTCCAATTACAGACTTCAACTAGCGAAAAACCCTCCTTTAAAAGTTGTTTAATACAGAAGATCGTGACCAATTCCGATAAGACTCAATGAAAAACGTAAAAATAATCCATGTAAATAAGATTCCATTCAATTTCCGATGTAAATCTGTAAATAGTGTTTTCAGGGTGTAGGTGTGAGTTAGGGATGGCACTAGGCGTGGCACTTTAACTTTACAAACACTTTAAAAAAGTATTAAAGTTTAAAGCGTGTTACTTTAAACTTTAATTAAAGTAAAAATTTTAACGCTAACTTTAAAATAAAATTTAATGTTAAAGTGCTTGTGCCATGGGTAAGAAATGACCACGCCCAGTTCTTGAGTCCTCGTCTAGCTACCCTAGTGGGGGTACTTGGGTCCTCATATGGCTATCCTATGAGAGATACTTGGGTTCTCATATGACTATTCTAGTGTGGATATTTGCGTCCTCAAGTGCTATACTATGGAGGCACCCTTAGGTCCTCAAGAGCTATACTATAGGGATACCCTTAGGTCCTCAAGTGGTATACTATATGAGTATCCTTAGGTCATCAAGGCCTCTACCATGGGGACAGTCTTAAGTCTTCAAGGCCTACACCATAGTCTATAGTGTAGGCCTTGAGGGTTTAAGGTTACCCCCTAGTATAGCTCTTCAGGACCTAAAGGTACCTTCCTAGTATGGCACTTAAGGACGTAAGAGTATCTCTATAGTATAGCACTTGAGGACCTAAGGGTACTCTCACAGTATAAGGCTTTGAGGACCTTAGGATTCTCCTATAGTATAGTTCTTGAAGGTCTAAAGTATCCCTTTAGTATAGGCCTTGAAACCTAAGGCTATCCTTGTAGTATAGCACTTGAGGACCTAAGGATACCCCTACAGTATAGCACTTGAGGACCTAAGGATACCATTATAGTGCAGACCTTCAGACCTAAGGCTATCCTTATAGTATAGCACTTGAGGACCTAAGGGTATCCCTATAGTATAGACCTTTAGGACCTAAGGCTACCCCCATAGTAGAGGACTTGAGGGCCTAAGGATACCCCTGTAGTATGGTACTTTAGAACCTAAGGGTACCTCCATAGTATAGCTGTTGAGGTCCTAAGGGTGCCTTTATATTATAGCACTTGAGCACCTAAGGATGCCTTCATAGTACAGCCCTTGAGGACCTAAGGATACTCATATAATATAGCACTTGAGGATCTAAGGGTATCCCTATAGTATAGCTCTTGAGGACCTAAGGGTATCTTCATAGTATAGCACTTGAGGTCCCAAGTATCCCCATTAGAATAGCCATACGAGGACCCAAGTATCTCTCATAGGATAGCTATATAAGGGCTCAAGTATTTCTCATAGGATAGCTATATGAGAACCTCACTATCCCCGCTGGGGTAGCTAGACGAGTACCCAAGAACTGGGCATGGTCGCTTCTTACCCATGCCACAAGCACTTTAACTTTAACTTTTTTTTTAAGGTTAAAGTGTTAAAATTTTACTTTAATTAAAGTTTAAAGTTTTAAAATGTTCACATTAATTAAAGTTAAAATTTTTAAAGTGTTTCATTTTAACTTTAAGTTTGAAGTTTAAAGTGCCACCCCTAGGTGTAGATGAAGAGAACACCCACACCCATAGCCACACTCCATTGGAAAAGCCTGCAGAATATAAAGATTGTAGAGCTGGATAACGTGCAACTTCTGAGAACGTTTGACGGTTGGTCACGTTTCCAACGAAGTGGAGTACCGAGTACAATTAGGCATTCCAATATGGAAAACTGAAGGACAATGCCTAAAATGGTTGCCTTTCGAGACGAACAAAAGAACAGTGAGCTATAAAATATGCAACATTGTAGAGGAACCTCAATTCTTTAGAAGGCACATTTAGAAAGGATTTTAAAGAAACTGATAAATGAGTTTACGGAGGGTCAGAACGTCTATGAGTGCCATAAGGTTCAGCAATCAGTATATGATTGACCCAAGTGTTTAGGCTTCAAGAAAGCACGATTTTCTCTATCCCATTGGATACAGCGCGAATTGCTCTATGAAACGAGATATGTAGCAATTCGATTCATCAGGGACCACGAAATCCTATAGGATCTTCTTTACCGGGATCAGGACTGGAAAAAGTGGTTTTGCAGATCCTCAGTTCTGACCTTTTTTGTGCTGTTTTTAGCCGTATATCATTTTCTCTTGCAAATAAAACAGATACAGGTAAAAAAAATGCAACACGATTAGGTTATATATATGCATATAGAAGTAATGAATATTATCTGCATTTCTTCGCTGCTTTCTCTTCCAAAAAGTTGCGATCATATTTTTCTGTTCTCTTTTCTTTCCTTACGACCTACCACGCTTTTTATAAGTGGGCAAAAAGAAATAAATAACAAGATCTGCACATTGCCACTATATTTTTTTTCACCGAAAAGTAAGTGTCAGTGACTTTCTCTCTCATTTCACCTCAGAAGAATTCTCCATGAAGCTATTCAATTGTGAATATAATGATAAAAGTGAAACTTTAGGTATTCCACAAACGCCATGATTAGTCATGTCGCAGTAGTGCCCGAATTCCGTGAATTCCGAACTCTTGAGGAATTCTTGAACTCAAAAATTATTTAACACATACGGACTAAGATCCCACGGAATTCAAGGATCCCAAGAATCCCAAGGATCCCAAGAATCCCAAGAACCCCAAGGATCCCAAGGATCCCAAGAATCCCAAGGATCCCAAGAATCCCAAGGATCCCAAGAATCCCAAGAACCCCAAGGATCCCAAGGATCCCAACAATCCCAAGAATCCCAAAGATCCCAAGAATCCCAAGGATCCCAAGAATCCCAAGGATCCCAAGGATCCCAAGAATCCCAAGAATCCCAATGATCCTAAGAATCCCAAGGATCCCAAGGAATTCAAGGATCCAATGAATCCCAAGGAATTCAAGGATCCCAAGAATCCCAAGGATCCCAAGAGGGTGTGGGTGTGGGTGTGGGTGTGGGTGTGGGTGTGGG